AGTCCAACAATGGCTGCACCACACTGGAGAGCCTGAGAATCCGGAGTCACTCTGTCCACAAGGCTGGATGTCTCAGTAATCCTAATCTGGCACTGAAGGTCTGACAAATTCCAAAAGATCAGCTAGTCTTCAATCTACAGCAGCAAGATGAACTCACCAGCAAGAGAGAAGGCAAGCAGCAAGAAGCCAGGTGTTCTCTCCTCTACCATGGCCTTTTATACAGGCTGCCATCAGAAGGTAACACCCACATTTAGGGTGTGTCTTCCAGCTTCAGATGATCCAATTAAGAAGATCTCTCTCATTTCAGTTAACCCCACATCCAATCAAGTTGACACCCAGGATAAGCCATCACAGTCAATAAAATAACTTTCCTGGTAAACTTTAGTTACAGATTCCTAAAGACAAAATTCCTTGCTCTTTCCCCATACTCTTAACATGCTATTCCAAAAATATAAGAGAAGACCCTTTGTTCAAGTGGAGTGACAAGGACCATTCTGAGAGAAATCAGAACACCTCAGAGCAGATTGGGCTCACTCTTGGTTAAGCTACTCCAAGAGTCAGATTTTCTTTGATGTGGCACTCTCTCACCTGTCTACACATGTGTGCACCCCCACATATCCACACGCACATATACACATACACAAACACATATGAAAAGAATATTTAGGAGTAAATTCAACCAAGGAAGTGGAAGATCAGTACAGTTGTCCCTCAGAAACCATGAAGGACTGGATCCAAGATTTCCCAAGAATACAGCAATTCTTGTATGCTCAAGTTCCTTATCTAAAATGCTGTGATCTGGGTGCAGTGGCCCATACCTATAATCCTAGTGCTCAGCAGGCTGAGGCAGGAGGATGACTGAGAGTTCACAGTCAGCCTGGGCTTCACAAGAGAATTTCAGGCCAACTTAAAATAACATAGTAAGGACTTGTCTAAGAGAATTTCAGGTCAACTTAAGATACATAGTAAGGGGGCTGGAGAGATGGCTCAGCAGTTAAGAACACTGGTTGATCTTGCAGAAGACCTGGGTTTGAATCCCAGCACCCACATGGCAGCTAACAACTGTCCGTAACTCTAGCCCCAAGGGATCTGACAGCCTCTTCTGGCCTCTGTGGGCATTGCACAACATGGATGCACTTACCTACATGCAGGCAATACACACAGACACATAAAATAAAAATAATAAATAATTTTTTAAAAAGATACATAGTAAAAACTTGTCTTTAAAGAAATCAACAAAAGTGAGGTATTTGCATATAATTTATTGACATACATGCATAAATACACATACACTTCAAATTGATCTTTAGCTTATTTAATTATTTATTTAGATTATTTAGTTATTGCTATACTGTGTTGTGCAGGAAATAATTTTTTAAGTCTATGAGGCTGGAATTGGCTCAGGAGTTAAAAGCACTTGCTGCTTTTGCAGAGGATGTGTATTTGGTTCTCAGCATCTATGTCAGGTGGTTCATAGCTTCTTGTAACCCCTTCTGGACTCCTTGAACATCTATACTCACATGCACCTACACACACACACATACACACACACACACACACACACACACACACACACACACACACACACCAAAAAGCAAACAAAGAAAACAATTTTTTTTCGGTCTTTTTGAGACAGGGTTTCCCTGTAGTCTCAGCTGGCCTGGAACTCACTATGTAGACCAGGCTGGTCTACATCCGCCTGCCTCTGCCTCCTGAGTGCTGGGACTAAAGGTGTGCGCTACCATGCCCGACAGATACCTTAATTTTTAAAAGTCTGCATATCCTTAGGTTAGCTGCTTTTCTTTGTTTTGTTTATTCTTTATTATATTTACTTATTCGTGTATTTATATATGTCTGTGTGTGTTGGCGTGGGTACATGCATGCCGTGGTGCAAGAGTGACGCCTTTAATCCCAGCACTTGGGAGGCAGAGGCAGGTGGATCTCTGTGAGTTCAAGGCCAGCCTGGTCTACATAGTGAGTTCCAGGACAGCTGGGGCTACAGGGAGCCCCTGTCTCAAAAAAAAAAAAAAAAAGTGGAGATCAGAGGACAACCTTGTTAAATTGTTTCTCTCTTTCTACTATGTGGGTCCTGGGGACTGAGCTCAAGTCATCACGTATGGTGGCAAACATCTTTACCTGATGAATCAACTTGCCAGCCCAATTTTTTTTTTTGAAACAGGCTTTCATGTAACCTAGACCGGCCTAAAACTCACTATATAGCCAAGGATAGCCTGGAATTCCTGATTCTCTTACTCTACCTCCTGAGTGCTTGGGGATTACAAGTGTTTGCCACCATGCGCAGCTAAAAAATATTTTCAATTTATGGTTTGTTGAATGTTTTTTCTCCTTTTCGTCTTTTTGAAACAGGCTCCTCCCTGTGGCCACAGCTTGCCTGGAACTCACTGTGTAGACCAGGCTGGCCTTGATCTCACAGAGATTTGGAGTGCTGGGATTAAAGGCATGTGCCACCATGCCTAGTTAGATCTGGAGAGACTAAAAGCTGTTAAACACTGATGAGAGAAATTGAGAGTGATACACATTCCGTGCCCATAGATTGGAAGAATTAGATCACTTAAATATTTGTACTATTCAAAACAATCTAGAGATTCAATGTAACCTATACTAAAATTCCAAAAATCATTCTTCACAAAAGTAGGAAACCATTCCTAGAAGTTTATATGGAGCCACAACAGACTTCAAACTGCCAAAGCAGTCTTGAGCAAAAGAAACACAATGGAGGTGCCACAGCACCTGATCTCAAAATATATCACAAGCTGCAGCAACCAAAACAGTTGTGGTACTGATATATAGAGATGCCCTGGCCAGTGGAATGGGGTAGAGAACTTCCCTACAAACCCATGCATCTATGATCAATTGATTTTTTTTACAAAGATGCCAGAAACACAGAAAGGGAAAGGATAATCTCTTCACACTAAATTGGCTATCACATGTGGAACCATGTAACTGGATCCTTACCCTGTATACAAGAATCATTCACAATTGATTACAGACTTACAAACAGGATACAAGAGATGGCTCAGCAGGTAAAGGCGCCTACAGCCAAGTCTGACAACCCAGAACCCACATGGTGGAAGAAGAGAAATAACTTCTGAAAATTGTCTTCTGCCCTCTTCATGGGAGCCAGGGCACATGTGGATGTGCACAGACACACACAAAAATAAATAAATAAATAAATAAATAAATAAATAAATATATAAATAAATAAGTAAAAAGAGAAATTTTTTTGAGACAGGGTTTCCCTGTAGCCCCAGCTGACCTGGAGCTCACTATGTAGACCAGGCTGGCCTTGAACTCACAGAGATCCACCTGCCTCTGCCTCCCAAGTGCTGGACTTAAAGGCATATGCCACCATCCCCGGCTGTAAAAAGAGAATTTTTAAAAAGAAAAAGAAAAAAGGGCTGGAGAGATGTCTCAGCAGTTAAGAGCACTGACTGTTCTTGCGGAAGACCTGAGTTTGATTCCCAGCACCCACATTGGGTGGCTCACAATTTCCTGTCACTCCAGCTCCAGGGGCTCTCATACCCTCTTCTGGCCTCTACAGGCACCTGCACATATCCACACAGAGACACACACATAAATAAATCTTGCTCTCTTCTGGTCCCAGGCACTTCTGAGCTACAGGTTCTCATGCAGACATGGTCAAGTCCAAGAGCCACACCACACACAACCAATCTCAAAAAGGACACAGAAATGGCATCAAGAAACCACGGTCATAATAGGACTCTCTTAAGGGGGTGGACCCCAAGTTCCTGAGGAACACTGTGTTTTGCCAAGAAGCACAACAGAATGAGCCTGAAGAAAATGCAGGTCAACAACTTGAAGGCCATGAGCGCATGTGCCGAGGCTGTCAAGGCCCTTGTGAAGCCCAAGGAGGTTAAGCCCAAGGTGCCAAAGGGTCCCAATGGTAAGCTCTGACTTGCTTTAATTGTCCACCCCATGCTTGGGAAGCAGACTCATGGCTACAGGGCCAAGGGTCACAGGCTCTGTCAACCAAAACCCAAGGCTGAGGCTGCAGCTCCAGCCAAGACCCAGTCTCCAACTTCAGCTCAGGCTCCCAAATGTGCCCAGGCCCCTGTGAAGGCCCACTTATTACCAATGTGAAGACAGATTGACTGGTGTGACCTCCCTTCCCACTGTTTGCAGTGAGTGGGCTGGTATCCTGTGCTGGTTTTAAAAAATATTTTATTAATTATTTCTATTTTATGTGTGTTAGTATATTGCTTGCATGTAGGCAGGTACACTGTGTCATGCAATGCCCTCAGAGGTCAGAGGAGGGTGCTGGATCTCCTGGAACTGGAGTTACATATGGCTGTTACCTGACATGTGGGTGCTGGGAATCGAACCTGGGTCCTCTGCTAGAGCAAGTCAGTGCTCTCAACCCCTAAGCCATCTCTCCAGCCCCTGTGAAGTTTTTGACTGAATGTATGAATTGCAGAAGAGCCACAAGCCTCATTAGGGAAAGCTATAAATCCCTGAAAGTGGCTAACTGGCCCTAAATTGACAGGCTGGCCTTGCTCAAGTCTTATCAACTGGTTGCTCCCTGGACTGAGGGAGACTATTTATGGAGCCAATCTGTCTCCTTTAGTGCTCTAAGATAGCTCACCTGCCTGAGAAAATAATTTTGGGAGAGAGACCCTCAAGGGCACCAGCCATGACATGGAGTTAACTCTTGCAGCTGTGTGCAGCAGAATTCCTATAAAAGTGGAAACCGCCCCTCCCTTCAATGCAGATGCCCAATTCCCAAGCCAAGGCCTCGGCCCTTTGCTGTTTGAATAAAGGAACACATTCCTTGCCTGTTGCAGGTCTGACTCTGACTCCTATTTCCAAACTTTAAACTCCTTCTTTTTCTCTTTTCCTAAATAAAAATGTAACGGGCCAGGGGTATAGCTCAGTGGTAGAACACACACACACACACACACAAATAAATAAATAAATAAACGTAATTTAAAAATTTTAAATTCTACTAAAAATGGACCTACCACATGTTCCACCAATTCCACTTCTGGATATGTATCTAAAGGAAATGAAATCAAGATATCAAAGTGATTCTTGCTCTCTTATATTAATTTCAGAGTCATTCACAATAACTAAGATATGGAATCAACCTAAGTGTCTTGTTTTGGTTTTGTTTTTCAAGACAGGGTCTCACTATATGATCCCAGCTGGCCTGGAACTCTCTATGTGGACCAACTCATAGAGATTCACTTGCTTCTGTATCCTGCAACCTGCATGCTGGGATTAAAGGTGTACATCACCATGCCCAGCCAACCTAAGTGTCTTATTACAGATGAATGGATAGAGAAAAGAAGGTATACATACACAATGGGATGCTATTCAGCCTTTAGACAAAAACTGTCATATGACCATCAGAATTTAATTTCACATGTTTGCTTTTTTTTTTTTTTTTTTTTTTGAGACAGGGTCTCTCTGTAGCCCCTGCTGGCCTAGAACTCACTATGTTAGACCAGACTAGCCACCTGCCTCTGATTTTTTAGTGCTGGATTTAAAGATGTGCACCACCACTCCTTACCCCTATTCAGCCTTTTAAAAAGAGGAAATTTGGGGCGGGAGAGATAGCTCAGTGGTTAAGAGCACTGTTTGTTCTTGCAGAAGACCTGGATTTGGTTCCCAGCACCCATATGGTGGCTAGCAACCATCTATAACTCCAATTCCAGAAGAATCCAATGCCCTCCTCTAACCTCTGCAGGCATTATACGAGATGGGTGCACTTATATATGTGCAGGCAATACACTCATAAATGATAAAATAATAAAAAAGAGGAAATTCTGTCATCTATAACAAGATGGATGAATTTGAGGACATTATATTAAGTGAAATAAGCCAAGCACAGAAAGACACTTACCATGCGATCTCACTGATATGTTGAGTTTGTGAACATCAAAGTCACTGGGGGTGTAGAGCAATGGTTTAGAGAACTTTTGCCTAGCATGATCAAGGCCCTAGATTCCATCCGTAGCACCCAGAAACAAGTAGGTAAAATAAAAAAAATAAAATGTCAAACTCATAGAAGTAGATAGTGGGTACTGGAAACCAAGGGCTGAGGGATGATGACAGGAGAGGAGCTGATGATGAAAAGAGGAACGGTGACAGAGTCAGAGCGGTTCCAGTGGGAGGAGGGAGTCAGTGATCTATTGATTGCACAGCATGGCAGCTATTGATCAATGATTAGCTATTGTATATTTTAAATCATATCATGCTACTTTTCAGCAAATTATCAAGGTACAAGACTAAGTTATTTGAAGCGATATGGTTAAGATTGCAAAACAATCAATAAGCATAATTTGAAATAGAAGTCAAAGAGCAGAGCGGAAAGAATCAAGAATCCATATGTAGGGGTTAAGAGCATGGGCTGCTCTTGCAAAGGACTTGGGTTTGGTTCCAGAGGATCTGTCACCTTCTTCTGACCTTGGCTGACATTGCATGCATGGGTGCACTTACATGCAGGTAAAACACTCATACACATCAATTAATCAATCAATCAAATCAATCAATCAATCAATCAATCAATCAATCAACATTTTAAAAAGACTCCACATCTAGAAGTACTTTCGTGGGCCAGAGACTAATAAGGACTTTAATTTTTTAAAATATTTTATTTATGATTTTTATTTTGTGTATGAGTGTATTACCTGCATGTATGAGGTCACCCATGTTGTGCAATGCTGGCAGAGGTCAGAAAAGGGCATCAGGGACAATTTTCCTGGTTTGTGGTCAACAGAGGAATGGGATAGTCCTTTCTCGTGATTAAATCAACACACTAAGATTTGGATTTGACCAAATAACAAATATTTTATTTATTATTTAAAATATTTTATGTGTATGAGTGTATTGTCTGCATGTAGGTAAGTACACCAGTGTCATGCAATGCCTGAGGAAGTCAGAAGAGGCTGTTGGATCCCCTAGGACTGGAGTTACGGACAGCTGTTAGCTGCCATGTCTTCTTCTAACCCGGGTCTTCTGCAAGAACAGTCAGTGTTCTTAACCGCTGAGCCATCTCTCCAGCCCCAATTAATTAATCTTTTTATCTTTGTGTGCATTATGTGTGTATTTGAGTGCAAGTTCATGCATGCCACACAGTGCCTGTGGAGTTCAGAGAGCACCAAGTATTGGTCCTTACCATCTACTGTGTTTGAGACAGGGTCTCTTGTTGTTTGTTGCTGCTTATGCCTGGCTGGATAGCTCAAAAGCTATTTCCCTGCCTCTCCTCTGGCCTTAGGAGCACACACTAATACACCCACTGTTACATGGGTTCTGGGGATTTGAACTTAGTGTGTGGGTGGCAAGCACTTTACCCACCAAGCCATCTTGCCAGCTTTTTTTCTGTTCCTCAAATGTGCCAAATGTGCTCCTTCCTCTGAGTCCTGCACTGATTTTCCTCTGGGAACTTCCCTCCTTCATCCAGTTTGCCTGCTGCCTTGCTTCTGTCAGTTCTCTGCTCAAAAAACCCTTCATTTCTATGTCCTATAGACATCTCACTGCCTTCTCACTGTGGCCCTCAGTCCTCTCTGCCTTGCTTTACTTCTCTCTCCCACGTTTATCACCATCCAACATACTATGCCTGTTTATTTACTTGTGTCCTGTTTCTCCCACAATAATATACACACCATAGTAACAAGAATTTGTTTTGTTTGCTGCTGCATAGAACTCAGAACAGTATCTGGCCAGAAATAAGTGCATGATAGTTTTAGAAAACACTGCTTGTTAAAACACGATTTTGAGATGGAAAGCAGGGTACTGTGTGAGAGTGTATCGCTCTAGTGGCAGGCAGTCTCGTCTACCTTTTCCTTGTATTGTTTGCCATAGGCTTTCTTCCAGAGATGCCAGTGGTGATCCAGGTTAGGATCTCTCTGCAATTGTTCCATTGACAGGGAGCACACCAGGGGTACCCAAAACAGCCATCTTGTTCTGCTTGAGAGAAAGGAATAGAGGAAACACAGCTGTCAGTTGCAGGTATTTTGACCAAATAATTTCCTTTTATTTTTGTTTTTCAAGTTAGGATCACACTTTATATGTAGCCCAGGCTGACCTGGAATTCACTATGTAACCTAGGTTACTCTTTGTTTGTTTGATTTTTGAGACAGGGTCTCACTGTAGCCCCAGCTGGCCTGGAAACTTGCTATGTAGACCAGGCTGGCATTGATATCACAGAGATCTACCTGCCTCTTTCTCCTGAGTGCTAGAACTAAAGGCATGGGCCACAATCCCCCAGTCCCAGACTACTCTTGAATTGGTGGCAATCTAGCTCAGTCTCTCAAATGCTGAGATTACAGGTAGCAATATATTTTCAAAGCAGAAACTAGCAATGTAAATTCTATCAAATGAATACACACCTATAAATTAGAATAATGCAGGCAATTTCCTGGAATATAATGTCATAAGGAATGGATTATGTCTGAAATATTATTCTGAATACTCAGCAGTATTAATAGTTTAAAAAGGGATTTTTGGGGGGGTCTTTTTGAGACAGGGTCTCTCTGTAGCCCCAGCTGGCCTAGAACTCACTATGTAGACCAGGCTGGCTTTGAACTCACAGAGATCCACCTGCCTCTGCTTCCTGAGTGCTGGAATTAAAGGCAAGTGCCATCATGCCCAGGCTAAAAGGGATTTTCAAAGCCAGGTGTTGTAGTGCATGGTTTTTTTTTAAATTTTTATTTTATTTATTTATTTTTAAATTTTATTTATTATTTTTATTTTATGTGTATGAGTGTATTGCCTGCATGTATGTGAGTGCACCCATGTTGTGCAATGCCACGGAGGTCAGAAGAGGGCTTTGGATTCCCCTGGAACTGGAGTTAAGGAAGGTTCGTAGCTGCCATGTGGGTGCTGGGAATCGAATCCCAGTCCTCTGCAAGAACAGTCAGTGCTCTTAACCGCTGAGCCATCTCTCCAGCCCTTTTTAAATTTTTATTATTTTTATATTATGTGTATGAGTATATTTCTTGCATGTGTGTAAGTGTGCCCTTGTCCTGCAATGCCCAAGGAAGACCAAAGAGGGCATTGGATCCCCTGGTACTGGAGTTCTGTTTGGTTGTTAGCTGCCATGTGTGTGCCAGTATTCAAAACCAGGTCTTCTGCAAGAACAGCAATTGCTCTTAATGATTGAGCCATTGCTCCATCCCCAGTAGTGCATGTTTTTAATCTGAGCACAAGGGAGGAAGAGGTAGGTGGATCTCTGTGAGATGGAGGCCTGGTCTCCATAGAGTTCCAGGCCAACTGTGGCTACAGGGAGATCCTGTCTCAAAAAGTCCAGAGAGAGAGAGAGAGAGAGAGAGAGAGAGAGAGAGAGAGAGAGAGAGACAGAGAGACAGAGAGAGAGACAGAGAGAGACAGAGAGAGAGAGACAGAAACAGAGATAAAGAGAGAAAGAGAGAGGGGGGGGGTCTAAACAATCAGTTTTTCTCCAGGACTATATGAATACATAAGCTGTCTTCACTGGTGTATTTAAATAGCCACAATCCAGTGTGGACATGCATTGTAGCATCACATGGTATCCCATTCATATCTATAATGGTTTGGGGGTTTTTTAATTAAAATTTAATTTTATAAACAAGTCAGGCACAGGGGCCTATAGTTCTAGCTGCTCAGGAAGCTGAGACAGGAGGATTGCAACATAGAAAGACCCACTCTCCAAATAAATAAATAGGGCCGGGTAGGTAGCTCAGTGGTGGATCACTTGCCTAGTATAGGTGTGAGGTCATGGGCTTGATCCAAACACACAAATAAATAAGTAAATAAATACTTAAAAATGAAATGAATGTGTACAGCCTTTAGAGATAGTTAAGAGACAACTCTAATTTTTTGGTTTCACACTCTTAGGTCATTTTTATTTTTTAAATTTCTTTTCCCAACAAATCAAATATCTGTTACAAAGGAGGTATCTAAAATATCATTTCTTGCTAGGTGTGATGACCCAGGCTTGTATACCCAGCACCTGGGGCAGAGGCAGAGGTAGAAACAGGAAGATCACAAGTCTGTGGCCAGCTTGGTCTACATAGTGAGTTTCAAGCCAGTCAAAGCTACACAGTGAGGCCCTGTCTTAAAACAACAAACCCCATACCCCACCCTGTTTCCATATTTCATTCAAAAGGCTTTCACAGAAATCAAAAATCCAGCTCTTCAAACTGAATTCCACTTTCTTTTCCATTTCTTTTAATTTCAAAACAGATGAGTTTTTAGCCATGTTAAACCTTCAGATTATATTCCAAAGAAAGCTAAGTCTCAGGCTCAAACTCAGATGTTCAAGCAGATAAAAGCTTTTCAAAAATAGACTCTTCCTAATCAGAAAAACAAGAGGCAAATTAAGTGACAAGATTTTTTTTTTTTCAGTTTACTTCCTGAAAGCAAAGATTTAAAACCTGGCCGGCAAGGTAGATGAAAAGATAAGCATGTTTAAAACCAAATACAAGAACAGAACAAAACAAAACAAAAGCAGAAAATACATACAGGACAGAGCTGGCAGGAGTTCCCATGGTCGAGTCCCTGAAGCTGGTGGGCTCACTCCGAAGATTTCACAGGCAGCAAGGAGCCTGGATGAGTTGACTTGAGGAAGAAATGGGAACTTGTCACATGAAGCATCCACAAGGAGGAAGTGAACTTTCATTTCAGTTTCATTTAAAGTCTTAAGAACAGCTGCCTCTCCTCATCTTGGGGACAAGGCGTGTACAATAAACCATAGCAAAGAGCTCCTGGTAGAGGAGATCAATAGAATGAACTCAGTGGAGAGCAAGATAAGGTTACCCCCCAATCCTACGTCATTTCAGGCATCGGCTTTATTAAAAATATTATTAATATTAAGCCCGGCGTGGTGGCGCACGCCTTTAATCCCAGCACTCGGGAGGCAGATGCAGGCAGATCTTGGTGAATTTGAGCCCAGCCTGGTCTACATAGCAAGTTCCAGGCAAGCTGGGGCTACAGGGAGACCGTCTCAAAAACAAAAAAATAAAAAATAGTGCTCACTTCATATTTAGTATATTTATATATACACTATGCCCCTATGAAGCTATTATTTTGTATTCTATTCTGATTGTATTCTATTCTATTCTATTCTATTGTATATTTAGTATATTTATATATACACTATGCCCCTATGAAGCTATTATTTTGTATTCTATTCTGATTGTATTCTATTCTATTCTATTCTATTGTATATTTAGTATATTTATATATACACTATGCCCCTATGAAGCTATTATTTTGCTTCAATAGTTACCAGTAACTAATCTTGTTTCAATTGTACTGTCATTACCCAGGATACTTTGAAATAAAACCTAGACATTATATCTTTTCATATATGAATACACATTTCACATACATATATTTTTTATATTTAATTTATTGTGTGTGTGTGCGTGTGTACCATAGTGAGTGTGTGGAGGTCAAAGGACAACTTGCAGGAGTCAGTTCGCTCCTTCTATCATGTGGGTTCCAGGGATTAAACTCAGGTCATCAGTCATCTCACTAGCCCTCATGTGTATCTTTAAAAGAGACATATTAAATAAATACAAGCACAATACTATGACACATCTAAAATAATCATCACATTTATTGTTTTTAAAATACATCTATAAATATAAATATTTTAATTTCTTTTTAAATAGTTTGTTTTATTTTTAACTATATGTATGTGTTTGTGGGGTGTATAGTCATGTGACTGCAGGTATCCTCAGAAGCTAGAAGAGGGTGTTGGATCCCCAGGAGACGGAGTTAGAGATCAGAGGTTGTGATCACCTAATGTAGATCCTGAGAATCAAACTCAGATCCTCTGTATGAGCAGTACATGCTCTTAACTGCTGAGCTATCTCTCCAACTCCTTGTTTTGTTTTTTGAGACAGGTTCTCCTGCACACCAGACTAGTCTTAAACTCACTATGTAAGAAAGTCTGACCTTGAACTCGATTCTACTGCCTCTGTCCCCTGAGTGCTGAGATTGCAGGCTTGTCCACACATCTAGCATCTAGTATCTAGCATTTCTCTTTGTGTTTGGAAATTTTCCCACATTATAAATTTTGCTTCTCCAAGTTAAGGTCAAAACTCTATTTCCAAGGTTCCAGTGCTGAGACATATGATATAGGCTTTGCCCATCAGACAGCCATGTAAAAAGACATCATTTTGGAATCAGTGTGTGAGAAAGTAGACCCATGCAATTCCTCCCTCCGATGAGGACCACAGCAGCAGCTCTTCTGGTTTTGGTCTCTAGAACGATCTGTGCAAATTGCAGTGCTTATGTTAAACATCATGGGATGAGCAGCCTTTTTGTGTGGTTTCAGTGATAAGTTCATGGTTACATAATAATCTCCAAGTGGAGGGCTGAAGAGATGGCTTAGTGGTTAAGAGCACTGGCTGCTCTTACAGAGGACCTGGGTTCAATTCCCAACCCATGTGGCAGCTAACAACTGTCTGTAACTACAGTTCCAGGAGATCCAATGCCCTATTCTGTCCACCATGGTCATTGCACAACATGGTGCACTTACATACATGCATGCATAACACGCATACACACAAAATAAACTAAAATAAAAAATAGTAATCTCCAAGCAGGACTGACTCTGGACTCTCCATGATCCCAGGAGCTTTCAGCAATTTTTAAAGAAACTGTAGTATCCAGATAGATGGACCCAGTAAAGATATCTACAGGAGTGTTGAGATTAGAAAAACAAGAGCTGAGTCTTAGAAGTAGACTGGGAAAGTGCTGTTCTTGGGCTATAAACAGAGGAAACAAGAGAAGAAAAGCATTGTGAAATTCTCAGTAACCACAGACTGCCTTCTTCTCTGTCCTTTGATGCATCTAATTGCTTTGTTTTAATGTGTTTGTGTGTGTTCATGTGTGTGCAGATGTACATGAACATGTGTACATATGGATACCTGAGAACAACCTCAGCCGTCATTCTCGGAAACACTGTCCTCCTTTGAGACCGTGTCTCTCGTTGGCCTAGAGCTCACCAATTAGGCTAGACTGACTGGTGAACAAGTCCCCAGGGATCTTACCATTTGTCTTCTCAGTACTGCATTACAAGGGCATGCTGATATGACTGGAATTGCATAGGTTCTGTGGATTGATTTCAGTACCTCACAAGCACTTGTGAGGTAAGCACTTCACCACCTCAGGTATTTGCTCAGTCCCACATATCTGATTTTCTTTCTTTTTTTTTTAAATTTATTTATTTACTTCTAAATATTTTATTTATTATTTTTATTTTTTATGTGTATGAGTGTATTGCCTGCATGTATATAAGTGCACACATGCTGTGAAATGCCCAAGGAGGGCAGAAGAAGGCATTGGATCACCTGGAACTGGAGTTATGGATGGTTGTTAGCCACCATGTGGGTGCTGGGAATCAAACCCAGGTCCTCTGCAAGAGCAGTCAGTGCTCTTAACCACTGAGCCATCTCTCCAGCCCCCAACACATATCAAATTTTATACTTGGTTTTTTAGTTTGGTTTTTTTTTATTTTAGCTTTGATTCCCTATATTTGGACCCCCAAACATATGTGGTTCAATTTCCTTAGTGGGGAATGAGTATAAAAACAAATTTCTTTCCATCAAGATAAAAATTGCAAAGTAAGATGTGATACAGTCCTGATGGAACCTTATTGGATGTTTAACAGCCATAGTTTGAGGCCTATACTAATCTGGTCAGAGTGACTTACAGGACAGTTTTTGCCCCTTGCCCTCCAAGGTCGACTCAGTTTCAGGGGACTATGAGCATCTCTCAAAATGTCCTGTAACTGTGGTGAGTCTCCTGTCCTCTTGTTCAGGGAGGCCATGGAGACCCTACCAGAAGGACTTGAACCAGTGTCCAGTCTACAAAGAGGAGGGTCACCTCAGAGGTAATATTTCCTCCATGCTTCCAAGTGAAGCCAGCCATGGTCGAGTAGGACCTTTGACTTATCTTCACATAGATGGAACTGGTAGAAGAAAGGAGCCAGGAGCTCCTCTCAAGCCCATGTGACCCCTAAGGAACAGATCCTCAAATGACCTTAAGTGTAAAAATAAGTTGATTTATTTGGGCCAACTGTATGGTCTTAAACACCCAAAAGGAAAGTATAACCAAAGAGTAAAGTCATCAGTATATTTCTTTAAGAGTTCAAGGGATTACACTTCCCAGAAATTAGGCTTAAGCCCATATAAAAAGTTATCGAGACAATTATTTTTCATTGATGATTTTGTTTCTAATCACAAAGTGCTGCTCAGATGTAAGACTTCAAATCTTGGAGACAAAAGAAAAATGAGGAGGAACCCAACAGAGGGATGCTTTTGGAAGTTCTCGTCAAGAAATTCCAATGGACTCTCATATGAACATTTGAAATTTGCCCTGTTCTGACTTTTTTCTAGTTCCCTGTCTAGAACTTGTGCTGAAATTAAAGCACCCTCAGCATTTTTATTCAACATCTTATAACAGTCATAGCTAACACCTCCAAAAGAAAAATGAGGAGGAACCCAACAGAGGGATGCTTTTGGAAGTTCTCGTCAAGAAATTCCAATGGACTCTCATATGAACATTTGAAATTTGCCCTGTTCTGACTTTTTTCTAGTTCCCTGTCTAGAACTTGTGCTGAAATTAAAGCACCCTCAGCATTTTTATTCAACATCTTATAACAGTCATAGCTAACACCTCAAAGCCAGCAAACACGATATATTGTTCATGCATTATTATTAAAACTTTACAACAAAATTAGGTAGGGGCAATTATACTCATTTACAGAGGAGAAATTAAAGTTCTGAGAGAATAATAAATTGTTCAAGAAGACAGAGATGGTCATTGGCCTGGGATTAAACCTAGTTTTAATTTTTCAAAAATAAGTTGGGGTGGCAAAAAGCATTGAGACAGGGTCTCACACAGCTTAAGCTGGTGTCAAGCTTACTATGTAGTGGAGGATGACCTTGAATTTCTGATCCTCCTGCCTCTACTTCCTGAGTTTTGAGTGCTGAGATTACAAGCATTTACCATCAAACCTGGCTGAACCTAGTTTTGAGGGAGATTTTAAAAAGATTTATTTCTGTGTGTAAATGTATGTACATAAGTGTGTGTGTGCAGCTTAGCCCATATGGAGGCCAGAAGAGGGCATTGGATCCCTCAGAGTTACAGGCATTTGTACCGGACTTGTTACATGTTTGTTGAGATACAAACTCTGTTCCTCATGATTGCGCTGCAAGTGCTCTTAACTACTAAGCCATTCTCCAGTCCCCGTGGGAAATTTTTTGTTGTTTATTTGAGATAAAGTCTCACTCTGTAACCAAGGCTGGACTCAAACTTATATTGATCCTCCTGCTTCAACCTCTGGAGTGTTGGGATTACAGGCATGAGCCACCATACCTAGCGCAAACCTAGTTTGTATGTGTGCATGTGTGCGTGCGTGCATGCGTGCGTGCGTGTGTGTGTGTGTGGTGTATGTGCACATATGGAAGCACATATGGAAGTCCTGCTCTATCGCTCTCAGCCTTACTCCTTTAAGACAAGGTCTCTCACTGAGCCTAGAGCTAAGCTCCAATGTATTGGAGGCCTGCAAGCCCCAGCAATTCTCCCAACTCTGTCCTGCCACTCCCAGCCCCTCAACAGCGCTGG